TCATCTCTGGTTTGTGGTTTATTTGAATATACAGGGTGTATCTAAATAACACCGAAAATGGGCGATTCCTTGTGATATTATAGCAAATAAAGTTCATATAAACAGGTATCCTAACTTGCTCCGTTTTTGAGATACAGGATGTTGAAGTTGGAAGTATCAATTATTTTTATTTATAACCTCCCTGTATAAGCTTTCATGGTGCCAAAATTCAGTATGGTTGGAGACTGAGGAAGCCCTAAAATTTCAATATGATGTGATTGGGGTTATTGAGTAATCTCAATGGAAGTCTCGAAAACACCTACAGTAAAATTTGGAGTAAAATCGAATTTTTATTGTTTCCTCAAAAAATAAGCTAGATACTAAAATCACATAAATGATAAAAAAGTTGTTATTTCAATAGTATCGATAAATTTACCCACTGTGACGCCACTGGAAATATTATTTCGAATCTAATTGCACCAGAAGAAGCTCAATATTACTATTAACAAAACCACAACGTTTTATTGAAATTGATGGAAAGACAATTGAGTAATAAATAAAAAAACGATTTTTCATGGAAATATTGATAACCTGTATCTCGAAAACGAAGCAAGTTTTTTCGGTGTTATTCAGATACATCTTGTATAACCACCTCTTGCAATCTACTGTTGAGCAAAGTTGATATTTAATTGCTCATAACTCCTTAATTATTGAGTTGTAGACAAAAATGTATAAGGCACATTCGACTTGAGATTGTTCAAGGAATATGCCCTCGAGTGACGGGACACCTTAGATTTAATTCAATTCAGTTATTTTTATTTGGGAGGTTATAGTTATTTACGTCACAAGTGGGATAAAGACAATATTAACGCACATGAGTGCGTTATAATAATGTAGTATCCCACGCGTTGCGTACAGAATTTTATGTACAACTGTCAACGTTTTCATAATTATCTTTAAATGTACCTCATTGATATTCCACTTTGACGTAACTACTCATGACAGTTTCCTGATAATTGAAAACACAAGTTGCCTGTGATCATTTGTGTAACCGTACCAACGGTAGGTATAAACAACGCCATTTACAGATGTTGAATTGAATTGACAGATCGATATCCATAACCATCATTAAGTTTCTTGAGTGAAAATGTCTTCAAGTGTAGATGATTTCCCATCCGATATTGAAAATGCGGCGATAAGAAGTGTTATTTGAATGTTCTTTGTATTCATTCAATAAACGATTTATTTTGGATGAAATTTATTTCTCATCTCATTACCGCACTAGTTCGATAATAGATTCAAAAAAGCAGTAGTGCGGTAATTAACGTCATTATGACATTAAAAATAGTGTCAAATCATAATCATTACTTGACTGTTGTAGATAAAGTATTATTATTTCAATTTGTTTAAAGAAAATGTAAGTAGCATGTTGTCTTTGGAGGTTAAGTATTCTTATTACAATAAATTATTATAGGTTTAAAAAATCATTACGCTGTCAGGTTATTTTCTTCTATTTGATTAATATTGTTTATATTTGATTCTGAAATAACCTTATCAATGTGTACTTTCAGATAACTATGTAGTATGAATTTAGACTTTATTGAAAAATAACAATAAACGTTATAACGTTATTTTTACCAAAAGATATAATTTTTTTCGTGTGACGAGTACAAATTTGCGTGTCAACTGCGTCTTACTTTTATTTATATAAAAAAATGAAGCATTGAGATAACTAACTGGAAGATTCGATGAGACATAAGCTATATTCTGATGTATACAATAATATAGGTAAGTAGATTACTTGGAAAATTACATGAATTATATGAATATTTATTTAATGAAATTGAAAAAAACTCGTTATCTCAAACAGTTTATGAATCATTTTGGGGTGACTGGAAGAATTTGATTTCGAAAATTGGGTAAAATTCATTGTGCTCCATTGTTTTTTTCTATGTATGATATTTTTATTCGAATTAGATAGAAGTTACCACTTTCTTGCTGCATTTTCGTATGTTGCTTACTTTTCAAGAAGAAACCTTAGACCTGATATGAATCCAAATTCTAAGGTAGGTTCTAGGTTCATTCAAGACATCCATTGAGATTACTTTTCGGCCGATTACACTGAGTTCTGACATTATGAAAGTTTATTACAGGATCCTAATTGAAACAGCATATTATATTTCTAACACCCTGCATATTTCGAAAACTCAGCTCCAAAACAAGCTTATATGATTTTCTCTTTTCATTTTTGCGAGCACTATCGCCTATTACATTTTCCCGATTGAAATCTGAAGCACTCTGTATATAATCTCAAACCAAGCGGGTATTTTCACTTTTTTCGCCATCACGCTCATCTTAAAATCAGTAGTTATTTATTATACAAGGGAAAAAAGTATTAGATTTCAGCTCGAGGTTGTGTTCTCTCGATGCATACCGCAGGGGTCAAAAAATCGAAAGCTAAAATCTAATATTTTTCTCGAGTATAGTAAACTAACTATGTTTTTCTTTGCCTGATGGAAAAACGAAGATTCAATATTGAGAAGATATTATATTATATTGAAACCAGAAAATTATCGATGTGAGATTTTGAGTGTTTAACTTCTTTCCCGGATATACAGGGTGTCCCGAAGTTACATAGAAATATTTCAACCACAGATTCTAGAAACAAAAATGGTGAGAAAAGTTTATGTAAACATGATTTCAAAAATGCTCCCCTCGGGAGTTGAAGGGGAGCCCGAGATGATGGATTTATGTAAATAGTTCCGAAACCCTCTGTGTTGAGATAACGAAATTTTGTACATGTATATAAGTTTTCATGTCCGATTTGGAAATATTAAGAATTTTATGGAATTTTGAGCAGGGGTGTGGGAAATAGGTGGGGCTAGGGGCATTTCTTCCCCTAAGTTTTTATGCAATGCAATTTTCGGCAGTTTGATCAGGAAATATGAAAATATCATAATTTTTACTAAAAAATAATACTCCTGTTCAGTTCCGATAGCTTTCGCCATTTTCGAGATAAATCGATTTTGAGTCTACTGCGTAACAAAAATAGCGCTTTTTCCTTATAATAGGGTAGCAAATGTTCCCAATAGTTATTTATTTATTTTTTCTGTGACGGGAAAAAAGTTTGTCATTTCATCTCTGTTGGCAGGTTATAAAATGTCACTTTTCATAAATTACTTTTTTCCCGTGGGAAGAAAGTGAGTTCTTTTTTCCCGGATATATATCACATATATATACTCTGTTAATGGCTTTTGTTGTGCTATAAGTTCCGAAAAATGAGTCAATAATACCGTCTCCGAGAAAGAACTGCAAGTCCTTTTATCTTCCATTCGACTTCGCGGTTTCGTATATTACTAAACAACTACTGAATTCGCAATTTTTTAAAATCAAATCACAGAATTGAACTGACAGAAGTGACATCAAATATTTGATTACTTCAAAAGAATGATAAAGATGCCTATAAAACGCAGGTGTCCCCACTGTTAAAAACTTGAAATTTCACGTCGATAAATTTCAGATTTCGAAATAATGTAATATCTTCTCAATATTGATTCGTCCTTCCTTCTGTCACAGGAAAAAATAGTGTATTATACACGGGAAAAATATTAGATTTTAGCTCACGGTTTTTTGTCTCCCTCCGCTACGCGTCGGGAGACAACACAACCTGGAGCTAAAATCTACTACTTTTTTCCCTTGTATAATAAATAACTATTACTGTGCCAGTTCCGAAACACTGTCTCCGAGTAAGAACTGCAAGTCCTTTTTATCTTCTATTCCACTTCGCGGTTACATAAATTTCTAAACAACCAATAAGTTCGCAATTTTTTAAAATCAAATTGCAGAATCAAATTGACAAATATTTGATTACTTCAAAACGTATTATTGTCGCAGCCTGCCATCAGTTAAAAACTTCAAATTTCATATTTTATCTAAATCTAATATTTTTTTCCCTTGTATAATAAATAACTATTTTTAAATCGTTTTTTTAACTTGGTGCGTCGTTGGCAAAATTAAAGTACACAACACAGGAAAAGCGCCACGTGTACGCATACTAAAATGCTAACAATTAGATGCATAATACAGTTCGAAAGACCTTGATATGGATATATCGGTTTCACTTGTTGTTTTCTATCATTTTCAAGTACCTATACTTGTAATTTGAGATCCATACATTGCCAAATATCTGAATTGAATTCATGGACCTATACCAATACAGAATACCTAGATATATGTTGAATAGAGTAACCCTCTCACTGATGGGAATTAGTTGTAATTTCTGTTGAGTTTCCAAAATAAATAAATAACATAAAATATATATAGGGTTATCAAAAATAAAACGGAATTTCATTTTCGAGTAGATAGTGACTTTTCATTTATGATCCGATTTCATTTGTATTTTTCTTTTTTGACAGAAAAATGATCAAGATATTCAGGAAAAAACGGCGGCCACACCTAAACTAAAATTTGAAACTTGCTGACAATGTTTTTGAGTCGCTCTGTATTACTTTATGTAGAGGATCTCCTAAAAGCTTGAACCATTATTATCTTATTAATAATGTATGTAGGTTTATCGAGAATGAGATGGAACATTCATTTCTCCAATTTTTTTTTATTCTCCACGTTTCTATTTCAATACTATGTAGAGGTGTAGTGGGGGCAAATCATCAGATAATTTGCCCCAAAATACCCTCGAAAATTTCCCTATTAGAGAGCTTAACAGAAAAATGTAATCTATTGACAGTGACACCTTGTTTTTTAAAAATATTACAAGAAGAGGAATATTGATTTATTGAAAACTTATCAAATTTTAATTGACCAATAATTACATCACAAGTTTCATTGCTACCATCGTCAATGCTAAAAATTGGCCAGCAATCTATCCAGATTCATACCTTCCTTGACCCATACGTAACTTGATGTAAACTCTTCTTTTAGTTTTTACATTATTCTGTCACTGATGATGTTTTTATGTTTCAAGTCAATAGCACCCTGATCATATTTTATTTATAATGTTACAGGAGGCAGGCAGCAATGATAAGGAAGGAAACATCAAGATTGGTAGTAAGTTGTTTGATAATAATTATTTTTTCCCATAGTAGCTATCTAAGAAAAGTTTTAATTTTTTCGAAATTCACGGGCTTTGGAGCTACTTTAGCGACTTGTAGCTTTTGAAAAACTCAAAAATGCGTTTTTAATATACTTGAGCAAAATCGGATAATATTTGAAATTGAATTTTATCGAGAGTACCAACTTCATCACATTTTTCATTTGATCGTTGAAATGATCTGAACATAATATTATGTGTGCGTGGACTAATAGGTAATACAGGGTGGACCAATGGAAACTTTCCATCCCAATTTCAAGGACTTAAAATTTGGAAAAACTCCGATTACTGATTTTAGGGGCAACTAACTTTCAGCATTTTTCACCCCAATAGCTGAACGACCCTCAAAATCTGAATAGGGGAAAGGGGTCTTGCCATACCTATTTTTAAAGGTCTCATCGACTCCTCCATGACACTATAATTTTCACCTTATTATGTTCACCCATCACGAAACGACAGCTTTTGGAGATCTTGAAAATAGACTATTGTTTTAGTAAGGAGTAATAGGTAGTTGAAGTTTCAAGTATAATGATCAGGTGCACGTCAAATTTATCATACAAACTGTTCAAAATGAGAAAAGTATCGCTTTTACTCCTACTAAAACAAAATGGACCCAATACGCACGAGAGCACGTTAATAGCCATGATACTCCATCACATCTAAAAAAATCTTGCAAAATGGTGTCTATCAGACGCCATATTTTTCAAGATCGAATTTTTTTGCGAAAGCATCAAGATTCTCAATTTCCAGTTTTTCGCGATCTTCATATGTTCTAAATCTCATTTCAGATTGAATTTCAGTTCGTATTTTCAATAGCAGGAGGTATACGTACCTAACTTCGTCTCACGTATAGGAATTCATATCTCCTTAGATATAACCGTGATCCCTATATGCTGAAAAGCATCCAAATCCTTTCCACGTATAATCTGAACGTAATTCAGTGAATAAGTTGGTTGAGAATAAGTATATAGAAGATAATTCGGAGGAAGTGAAAGCCTTCAAGAGCACGATGACCGTTTGATATCGTATAGTATATCGTAAAATATTGTATATCTTGTTAGTGCACGATATATACAGGACGTTTCCGAAATTGGAGCTATAAATTGAATGAGACATGATGACACTAGTTTAAAAAATTTACGTTTTCACTCACACGAACCATCTTTATTGAACAGAATATATTGCAAAATTTCATTCAGGAGTGTTTAATGCAGGGTATACCTGGACTACCCAAGGAACTCCCGGACTTGTTAAGGAATTCCCGGACTTCCCAAGGAATTCCTGGACTTGCCAAAGAATTCCCAGACTTCCCAAATAATTCCCAGACTTCCCAAAAAATTCCCGGACTTCCCCAGGAATACCTCTACTTTTATATTGCCATTTTTATTTTACACTCCTATGTTCGATATACAGGGCAAAACGACAAAGTTTGACGCTGTTTCTCATCAACTCCAGTACCTACTCATTCAATGATATAATATCTCGTGATATATCGATTTCAAATTGAGTTGATATTTCACAAATTTGTTTATTGTACCCTTTAGTGCAAATAAATTCAGGAGTTCAGATGAATTCTTTCTACTTATTTTTTCCACTTGCTTCACTTCGATTGGGTAAATCTGAGGACACAACTGATACACTGAAAAAACGTATATTGTGAAAAGTGATAAAGGCGAATCAATGGAAATGACATAAAATATCTCAAAAATAATCGGGATTCCCTTTCGTGCGAGCCAAAAGTTTAAAAAAATGTTGAATCGATAATATTTTAGTAGCTATAGAATGCATGCGATAGTGAATAAGTTCTAATAAATCCAACACCGCGCATAGTTTGCCATTTTGAAATTCGATAAAACACAAGCTTCAAAAAATCGTAATTATACAGACTTCCCAAAAATTACCCGGACGTCCCAAGGAATTCCTGGAATTCACAAAGTCCGGGTACTTCTCGAGGAATTCTCGTTCCGGGTACACTGGACTTCCCACGTGATATATATGGATAAAAGTACGAATTCTTTCTCGGTATATTCAACAGAAAACAACTACTTTCCTGGCTATATGCCACGACTATATCAACTGAACAGGAAGCAACGTAACTGTCTCCGTTCAGAAGAATGCAAGCGGAATTTTTCATTTTCCTTCATAAAAGTGTCCAATTTGGCTCACCCTGTACAGTATTCTGTACCTTTCTCTTCAGTGATGTATCATAGATAATGGCACTGACATTAAAATGATGCAATAGCTACCGGTGCATTTGCATTTAATGAGCATTCAATTTACTAGTGGGCATGCAGAGTTGCTAAGGAAATTGGCTTTTACTTGCACTTATAATGTGTTGTACATTTGATGTGGATATTCCATAATGGAAGGCGCCGATAGATTAGTCATTAGTCAGTCAGTGGAAGTGTCATTGAACATTGTTTTCCTTATTAAGCTTATACGGCTTGTTTTTGATTTATGTCTAATGTCACGATAACTTACAATTGCGTTTTATGTTCGTAGAAGAAATATTTTCAATATTTTTAATTTTTAACTGTAAATAATATGTATTAATGTACCCTTCGTCATATTTATAATCAGTATTTATTGGTTTTTGTTCTAAACAATAATACGGCATATTTTTTCATTGATCAATTCATTGACGTTTGAGAGAGATGATATTTACATATTATGTTTATTGGGCCATCTCATCGATAAATAGATAATAATTATAATTATATATATGCGGAGTATTCCAGATCCATCGTAAAGGTCTTTCGTCTAATTTATGAAATTGACATTTCGTACCTATATGCAAACTAGACTGGTGATTGGTTGATATACATCTCGATAAAAATATATGTATGTGTATGTATGAAATGTCATTTTCGAGCTATAATTATCCAATTCGTTCCACGCTGTACAGGGTGATCAGTTATGGGTAGCGTAATAAAATTATATTATGGTCAATATCAACGATTCAAAAAAAGGTAGATGATATTTTTTTTCCATTTAAATTATAGAGAAATTTATCCTCTTTCAAAACATATAAAAATTTATATACCATTAAATTTGATTTTTTTTAAAAAAACTCGAAAATTTGCTAACATTCCAGTTAACGCCATCTAGCGGCGACAGCAAAAGTCAAAAATTCAAAAGCAAATAAGCGTTTTGTAGGGCAAATTATGCTCTTTCATATTACCCTGAGTTTGCTAAAATCGGTCGAAATAATCGGGAGAAATCTTGGTTTGTCTGAAAAAACAGTTGAACTTCTCCCACCGCTTTATTTTGATAGCTAGAACAAAACGTTTTAGACAAAAAATGTAGGGAAATGGTCAGTAAATATGAGAATGATATCATCGACATACTTTCATAAGACAAAATTCTATAAAAATCCCATTTTTCTACTTGGTGTTGGTTGTTACGCCCTCTAGCGGACGTTTGACAAACTCGAAAATAATTTCCAGCAATTTCTCTTAGCGACTTATATCATGATCTATTTTTTCTCAAATCTATACAACCAATATCTTATGAGATATGGCCGCTTGCTACCCTTAACTGATCACCCTGTACATATTTCTTTCTCATTCCATCATTATTTTTTGGAAAGAGACATTCTAACCAATTATTCATAGAAATCAAATATAAAATTTACTGTATTATTTACTGATGATTTCATTCTCGAATATAAAAATACTATTCTCTCTGCATTTTCTGATAAATTGTATGAAATAATGCATTAAATAGTTATTTATTATACAAGGGAAAAAAGTTTTAGATTTTAGCTCGAGGTTGACTAAAAACCCTGAGCTGAAACCTAATATTTTTCAGTACTCAAATTATTTATGGAGCTAGACATTTTGGGATAGTTTCAGAAGGTATTTCTTTGGCTTATTTTGGGACTCAAAGTTTCTATATAAACATATTTTGATTCGTTTTCAATATACAGGGTGTCAAAGTTGATAAAATTTAATGAGTTATTCAATTACTAGGCAAACACTGAAGAAAAATCGAAAATATTTCAATAAATTGATGAGACCCTGAGGTCGAATGAAGTTTTGATAACATTTGTCCAATCGGAATCCCAGTGGCGCCGTAAAGGGGGTATATTATGTTTTTCTACTAAAAAGTGAGCGACAGAAGAAAATTTACAAATTTTGTACGATGGTATGTCATTCGATTTTGTACAAAAATCACCTCTTGTTGAAATTAGATGAAATGCACCGTTTTCGAGCAAAAACGGAAAAACGAGACCAGACTCCTAATTTTGATGTGAATTCTGAGTACTTCATTCAAGACATCAGTTCAGATTACTGGATAATCATAATAATTAACATTTTGAAATGTTTGTCCTATTTCAGACTCATGACAATAGTTATTTATTATACAAGGGAAAAAGTAGTAGATTTTAGCTCCAGGTTGTGAGGCAAAAAACCGTGAGCTAAAATCTAATATTTTTCCGTGTATAATACGCTATTTTTCTCTGTGACCTAAGAAAGGACGAATCAATATTTGAAATCTGAAAATTATCGACGTGAAATTTTAAGTTTTTAACAGTATAGGGACACCTGCGTTGTAGGCATCTTTATCATTCTTTTGAAGTAATCAAATATCGGATGTCACTTCTGTCTCTCTAATTTTGTGATTTGATTTCAGAAAATTGCGAATTCAGTGGTTGTTTAGTAATATACGTAACCGCGAAGTCGAATGGAAGATAAAAGGACTCGCGCAGTTCTTTTTCGGAGACGGTATTATTGACTCATTTTTCGGAACTATAGCACCACAAAAGCCATCAACAGTGTATATATATGTGATATATATCCGGGAAAACAGTACTCACTTTTTTCCCACGGGAAAAAGGTAATTTATGAAAAGTGACATTTTATAACCTGCCAACAGGGAGATGAAAAGTAAATGTCTAACCTCGTGTTCAACCAAAGTTAAGGAACATTTTGAAATAACATTTTTCCTTGCAACA